TTGGCCATGAACACATTCAGGACACCTCGAGTGAGAGCAGCCACACCCAGCCAGTCTTCCTCACTCCAACATCTTACTCGCCAACATTGCTCCTCCCACCATATTGTTATAGTTCTTATTACACATGTTCTATATACCTATCTACATGTTTTATTTACCAGAACTATGCAAGTAAGCCGGTATTGTGTCCAAACAGTACAGTGGCCGCTATACACTGCATGAAAAATCACACAGCAGACGACGCTACGATTACGTCACCTCCCTCACCAAAAATAGCTCCTCTCAACATTCTCCCGTTGCTGTTCTTACACTATATGCACACACTATATATACCCATGTACATATGTGTTTGCCCATAGCGAACCACTAAGCTAGTATGGTGAGCAAAACAAGAGTGGCAGCCACACACACAATGAGGCTACCTCAGTTTCTCGCCCTCCCTCATCAAATTCCTCCTTCCACAATACTACGCACAACGCTAATTATAACCACAATCCTGCTATTATCACAATCCTGGTCACTAATTCCTGTAAATAAATTAATGACCACACGTTTATTTTGAAAAAGGAACCTAAGAAATCATTTGAAGATTCCTAGATGAAAGAAATAATGCTGTGGTGCTGTTGGCTAGCGCTGTGAACATCGTGAACAGCATTGAATCACTGATATTTGAACATTGTACCCAGTCATTTATCACACTCAGGCTCTAATATAAACACTATCATAGCTAAATAATACAAGTTATATATATATTTTAACATTATTAGGCGATGCTGTGGTCACATGCTGAACAGCAGTGCTGTGCGCTCATGCTGCGAGCGCCAGGCTTGGTTGCTCACACACTACTGAGGCTCCCACACCCGGGAATGTGAACAACGATTTTTTTTAAGGATGGCGTCTGTTTACATGAGCCCTGAGGAAGCTGATGTGAACCCCATGTAGCCGCGGGAGTTTTGAATTACAGTAGTTTTACAGTCTCCGTGGTGTAGTGTGGGTAAGACACTCGCCTGGCGTTCCGCGAGCGCTTTGTCATGGGGTTCGTATCCTGGCCGGGGATGATTTACAGGGCGCAACTCCTTAACGGTAGCCTCTGTTCAACGCAACAGTAAAATGTGTACTTGGTTGTAACGACGATTCTTCGCGGCGGGGATCGTATTCCAGGGACCTGCCCGAAACGCTACGCGTACTAGGTGGCTGGTAACAACTCTTGTATTATATCTCAAAAAAAAAAAAAAAAAAAAAAAAAAAAAAAAAAAAAAAATAATATGGAACGGGAAAAAATACAAATACCCGGAGGCGCGTTGCGCAAACCAGACGTGAGCCTGCAGGCGCGTTGCGCAGTTTAAGGGTTAAGAGGCCTACTCTTCATTTTCTTACACTCCTAATTCTCATTTCCTTTATTCTTTGTCTCGCTTAAATCTATTATTAAACTAACCTTCTATATAAACTTTCACCACTTCCGGTTTCTTTAATCATAAACTTACGTCTTGCAGCCATACATAATCTGCGTTTGGTTTCCGAGTCCTAGGAAGAAATTTTCAGATGGAGCCAAGTCCATATTCCCCAACTCCTATAATGCAGGGTATGTCAGGCTCATTGCACTACATAGTGGTTGATAGTTAATGATAATTGGTAAAAACTCTTACATTTCTTTTCTTTTCTTTTCAGTCCGAGTTGTCACCACCAAGTGGACAGTCTCTTGAAGCTATCCGCAGTCTGTTAACACGTATGCAGAAGTTGTTCGCTCCAAGAGAAAAACTAGAACTCCTATTGGATACCATCTCGCACATATATAGAGCTGTACGTGTTGCATTTAATTTAATTTTTGAACACTGTAATACTATATAAGATATATAATATTAATTTATCAGAGATACAGTATTTTATACACATGTAAACTGCACAATTGTGTATGTAATTCCTTGTAGGACAGAGTAGGGATTGGTTTGGAAGATTTTTGGGAAAATATTTGTTTAAAACTAGATATTGCATGCAGATTTATTTGAATATAGCATAGTACAGTATAGCTATATAATTTGGTTTGAAAAGTCCTCACAATAAAGTGCAGAGGTAGAAAATGTTAAGTTACTTTCTGTAAATTGTCCAAATCCTCACCACAGGGAGGATTTGTTCAATGTGATTATCTCCCATGTGATTTACCTGTCACATCAAAGAAAAGAGACTATGTACACCAACATTTTACATGATTGAAATATTATTTAAGTCTAAATAAGGCTAAACAAAAATGTACAGTATTAACAAAAGACACATTAAATAAAAAATACATCTATTCTTGAGAAGTATTACATGCATTTCTGTGGAGAGAGCCCCTCTGGCTCCCTGGAGTTATCAGGCTAGCTAGTGTGTCATATTAGTCTGGGGCATCAGTCAATTGCAGTTCAGCTTACCAGGGACCAAGAGCCAGAACCTGGCCCCTCAGAGAGGCAAAGGGAGCAATGGCCTATGGAAACCCCTTATATTGGGGGCATTCCATGTCTGCCATCGACTGGGGTTAGGACCCAGATAGGTAGGCATAACAAAACAGACTCCACATGGTAAGAAAAATGCAACCGAAGACCGGACAGTGGCGGAAGTTTCCTTATTTAAAGAAACAAGAAAACGTCACACTCCGCCGTCACGCCACTTGTCCGCGCAGCCCTTCCCTCCCAGGAAGGGGGAGGGGGAGGGCCCCCGGACACCCCGCGCTGGCTACTCAACAACTCCAATTCGTTGACTGATGTGGTCCAGGGCGGACGTTGACGCTGGCCTTAGATTCTGGGCAGTTGTGTACCTTAGTGGTGCGCACCTGGTTTGTGTGTGGCACAGTGGCCAGGTGAAATTTAAGAGTACCGGAGTTGCATGTACTTAGGGTTTTCTTCCCTAGGTGCCCTGCAAGTACTACCCTTGGGTTCTAGGATGCTCTTCCATAGAACTTTTGGAAACCACTTCTGTGGGGGTCTTTGCTGCTTGGTGATTACCCTGCCCTTGGCCAACCAGGGTTTTTGTGGCCTTTGGCCTTGGGTAGAAAGTGGTATCATTTACTGGTAGGTAGTGCAAGGTACTGCACATCTTGCATGCCTATATGGTGGCTAGTTTCTGTTCCTTCTGGGGACGTTGACCTTTCGCGGAGTTTTTTATTTTTTGCCTTGCCTGGAGGGGGAAGGGGGTCTGCCTGGTTTAGCTATTGGTCCACTTCTGTTGTTTAGGTGGCTCTAAGGAAAGGACCCCAAGATTGTACACATTGCTGGGGTTCAGCTTTAGCAGTTTTTCTTGTTAGTTTGGGCCTAGCCGATTTTGCAGTACCTTCCTTGGGCTTCCCGCCTTGTGCTTCCCATAGCAGTCAGCCAGCAGCCCCTGGAAATCTCCATTGGGACTCATTAGAGTGATGGATGGATTTTCAGAGTTCCACCTCGCCTCGTGCAAGTTGGAATATTGGTGTGTGCCCTTGTCTCAGGGTGAGTCACCATTTCTATGGGGAGCCCCTACGGCTCCCCGGAGTTTACTGGGCTGAAATGTATGTATTAGACTGTGGCATCAGTCGATGGAGTTCTTGCCTACCGGGAACCACAACCCAGAACCTGGTCCCCTCAGAGAGGCACAAGGAGCAATGGCGTATGGAAACCCCAATGTGTTTGGAAGCTTTCCATGTCTGCTATCGACCGGGGTTTGGCACCCAGGAAGTAGGCATAACAAAACAAACCCCACATGGTAAAAATTGCTACCTAAAACTGAACAGGGGATTAGAACTCCCAAACTAAAACATGCAAATGTCACATAACGCCATTGCGCCGATCGTCGCCCCCCCCCCCCCCCCATGTGAGAGGGGAAGGGATTGCCCCGGACCGCCATACACTGGCCGCCCCAGCTATCAGTTCAGAGTTCATCAAAAAACACAAACGTTTCATTTTGTTGGCGACTCGGTTTAAGCCTCGTGCCAGCCGTTACTGCACTCTAGTTCCACAGCTGATGTGGACGGTGGCTTCACTGATGGTGTCCCACCTGCGAGCTTCATCTCGATGACAGTATGAAGTTTCCTGGTGTTCTTTCCATCATTTTCTTTCTCTTCCTAGGCTGTCGTCTATTTGGATAGGGTTGTCTTGTCCTTTCTCTCTTTTTTGCCTTTTTCAGGACCATCATTTAATGCCTAATACTGTCGCCCCATATCGTGCGGCGCTGGCGGAGCCCTCTAGCTTGCGTTTAGGGTGGATGTCACTTCTTCTCCATTTCGTAATCATTCTCATGCTTTGTTTCATCTCTGGCCTGCTCCGCCTGAGCTGTTCTGATCCTTGAACAGGGTGCTATCCTCGATTCGTGGTGGCCCCTTCGGTTCAAGATTGTTTTTCCAAGGCTCTTTCTGTTGGCATTGGCTTCTGGGGGTCGGGTTGGGGAGCTTCATCCTCTTCTCCGGTGCAGAGATTTCTGCTCTTTCAATCCTGGTAGTTTGTTCGGTTGCAGCCTTCCCCTTCTTTTCTGGTGAAGAACACGACAGCTGCTTTCCAGAGGGATCCTTGGGTCATTGATGCTTAGTTGGTCAGGCCTGGGGTGCATCATGTGTTGTGTCCAGTTGTGGCTCTTTACCGTACCTGCGCACCTTGGCTTCTGTGGCCAGGGAGGGTCTTTGGGTTGATCCAGTTTCCCTCGTTCCCTGTTCCAGGGCTCGGGTTTCCCAGGTCGTCCTGGGAACAGAAAGAATATAGAGCACCCGGGCCAACGACCAGGATGGCACCGGAAGCGCATGAGCAGGCCGGAGGTGAAACACAGGAGACAGCTAGCAGAAGTGAGCAGATAGAACAGTAACACCGAGTGCAAGCTGGAGCGGCCCCGCCAGCGCCGCCTGATGCGAGACGACAGTATGCAGCACTAGACAATGGTCCTGGAACAACCCCGAAGGGAAGGACAAGACAACCGAAGACACCAGCAGTCTCCGTGGCGTAGTGGTAAGACACTCGCCTGGCGTTCCGCGAGGGCTTTGTCCTAGGTTTGTATCCTGGCCGGGGAAGATTTACGGGGCGCAAATCCTTAGCTGTAGCCTCTGTTTAACCCAACAGTAAAATGGTTACTTGGTTATAAAAATGATTCTTCGCGGAGGTCGTATTCCAGGGAACAAAGGATTAAGAATTTGCCTGAAACGCTACCCGTACTAGTGGCTTTACAAGAATGTAACAACTCCTGTATATATAAAGAAAAAAAACTATGAGAGACTGAAGTATACCTACACCATGATAGGAAACTGGAAGGTCCTCCAGGAACGACTTACTGCCACATTTATTTACTTACTGCCACAGAGAGTACAATGAGAGACGAAGTACGGAGGTGGGAGACCAACAACGAAGCCACCAGTGCCCACACAAGGGACGAGAAACTCAGACAAAACCCTAGATGCGAATCGGGGTGGGGGGGGGGGAGGAGAATGATCCAGTTGAGTATCTGGCTGACCGACCCGCAAAAGAGGCGGAGCCGTGAGAAGTCACACGGACACCAAGCAAAGCAGCGCCCCCAACCAAGGCTTGCCAAAAGAGCCGAACCGGCAGATTCTGCAAACAGCAAGGCCAAAATGGCTGTGAAAACTGAAGAGCCAGGGCCCATGAGGAAAACGAGCACCACGAGCTGAATCTCGAGAAGCGAAGCGAAAAACAGCGACCCTGCAACCCGCAGGAGCAGCGCAACCAGCCCCAGCAGGGAAAAACGACGCACGCGTCTCCTAGTAATATATGAGGAGATATATATATCTCCTCATATATTACCCCCCCCCCCCCAAAAAATAAAATTTGTTGTCAAAATATTGTGCAGTTAGCCTTACTGTAAAACTATGATGGAATCTCAAGACAAACAAACACTTTATTCATGAGAACCCCTCTAAACTCTTTCTTTTCATGAGAACCACTGCCTGAACCCATTTTATCCGAAACCAATTTCTTAACCATCCACTGTATCGCCACCCTTCCTTACAGCTAGAGTTGTTATTTCATTTGCAAGCTGTTATATTTCATGTGCACCCAAATGGTTCATGAGGTCAATGGCTACGATTTCTTTATTTCAGATGTATGAGAATGGCGACACTTCTGGATCTGGGGATGCAGACGACCTTGTTCCAATGATTATGTGGGTATTGAGTCAGTCAGGCATGGTGTCTGCAGAGGTGGAAGCAGACTACATGTGGGGTCTGCTGCTTCCCAGTGCCTCCTCTGGTGAAGCATCATACTACCTTGAAGCTTTTCATTCTGCTATTCATGCACTCAAGAATCTCTCACCTTCACCAGAGTCTTCACCAGGAAATAGTCTTGATTCTGTTAGACAGGTAATTTATAATGTGCCTAGTAAAAGTAAAATAATCATGAATATTGAATATACTTCACAATTTTTTTTCTTATTATTAGTTTTCAGAATGTATGGGTACTGTATTTTAATGTAAATTTGATCATAAATTTTATTATTATTTTGTTCTTACTACCTACCTTTTGTTGATTCTGGGAATCAATGTCCTCATGATCAATTGGTCTCTGACCAATTGATCGGGTATCCTTTGAGCATCCATCTAATTGCAAGTAGGTAGCAACAGTAAATATGTAAAAGGGTTGGAGGAGCCAGCAACCTTTACTTTCCACCTGGTGTTTGCCTACATTAGATCAGTCATAAAATGTGCCGCTGAACCAACATTTGGTAAAACACAAGAAGAAAATTTAGACTAGTAACTAGTAAAATTTAGAAAATGTAGACTGGTAACATATAAGAAAAAGATAAGCTATGAGAACAGGTTAAGATAACAATTAATGACATTTTTGTCATTAATTGTCACGCCACATGCAGACGTGTTGCATGTGGCAACACGTCTGGTAATAATTCAAAATTTTTTTGCTAATTCACAGGATATGTCTATGGTATCTGACCAGGGCATCATGAAGATAGTTATACCAGATGAGAAGAATGGCAGCATAGTTACTCGTACATTACCTATTCGGCCTGCTACTACTACACGGGAAATATGCAAGATGATGGCACATAAAATGCGAGTCACAAACCCGCAAGACTATGGACTGTATAAACTTGTTGATGGTCTTGGTAAGTCTATGGTCACTAAAATTTGTATTATATATCTTGCATGCAGTCCTATAACTAGCACAAAATTTAAATATTTCATAAAATTTTTTTGCAAAGATAAATCACCTGATGGTAGAGTTATTAATCATTCGTTGATTAGAAGTACCGTATTTATATTTTCATTTGTGTTTGTGTTAATTCCCTTCTATGAGGCTTGAGATGTTTGAGCTCTCCACCAAGGTAAGTCACTTTCTAGTGTGTGGTTTAGTCAACATATTTCAGCCACGGTATTATGACTCCTCTGCATAGGTTACATATACCGTACTGTACTGTACAGTGGAACCTCAGGTAACGAACATCCCTCTTTATGAATTTTTTGGGTTACGAGCCCAATTTCTTCATAAAATTTGAATCAGGTTATGAGCTTTGCCTCGCATAACGAGTTTCTTGATACAGAGGACCACTTGCTTTGCAAACCCCTCAGGGATGAGGTCCATCGGTTACTGTGTTAGTTCATAAACGAGAAATGTAGGAACAAAAATAAATGAGAAATACAGTTAAAAAAATAAACGAGAAGTGTAGGGAAAAATAATTGACAGGTTCATAACATAAATGTGACAGTAATTTGTTAGTACTCACCAATAATAGAAGTCCTGATCCACTTGTTATGTTGATGATCATTGTTGACGGAGCATAGTTGTTTACATGAAATAAGTGGTGGTTGATGTTGTGATAGTGTTGGGTTGACTGAAGTAGAGATTAATGGTGATAAGGTAACCTCAGATATTGACACATTTGGGTTAACATGTGATGAGTGGGGTGCAGGTGGGGCAATGCAAGCTTTCTTGGAAGCCTCCCTCCCACCCTCACTGCTGCTCTCCCTCCCACCCTCACTGCTGCTCTCCCTCCCACCCTCACTGCTGCTCTTCTTTGTCACCTCACGCTTTTGTTTGTACCTCTCCCACACTGCATTACTGTATTAACACTCTCCACTTTTGCTTTACTTACTACCTTTCTATTTTGTATTGTCTTATCGCTTTCACTTCTAAAGAAATAGTAAAAAAATGAGGTTTAGCCTTAAGAAGATAACAAATGGTACTTTGGCTAATGCCATATTCAGCGCACACGACATTTCTCGGAACTCCGCTCTCCACCTTCTTAATTATTTCAACTTCCCAAATGTCATCACTGACCTCTTTCTTTTACGTATCCCGCTTGTTGAGCTTTCACTGACAATGCATGCATTTGGAGCTGACATGGTGCACAGATGTTCCTAGATTGTGCAAATATATCCAACAAAAGTCACAGAATGAACACTCCAGTCTCATGACAAATCAATACAATGGGAGCAATGGGTCATGAATCTGTGACATCCCAGGGTAGAAGGCACTAGAGTGGTGCCCGACATGGTCAGTGGGCAAACTAGGCTATCTCCCACCCACCACCCTGCACCGGTGCGAGGCCTGGCGGACATATTCCTCGCTTTCCGAACTTAGTTCGGCTGTCTCGGTTCATTCCGCCGTCCACGGAGTGGACAGTTGACGCCGACTCATTCAGTTGGCTCTGCCGGACGTATGGGCTCCAAGAGGTGGATCTCTCCGCGTTGCCGTGGTCGAGGCATCTCCCTGTACATGTGGTGCCGTTCCCCGACTGTGAGGCTGCTGGGGTCAATGCCTTCAGGCAGGACTGGTCAAGTTGGGGTTACCTGTACCTCTTCCTCCCGGTTCCGCTGTTGCTCCAGGTCCTAGTTCACTTGGAGACTTACCAAGGGAGAATAGTTCTTCTGGCCCCTTGGTAGCCGGCCCAGCCTTGGTTTCAGGCGCAGCTTGCTCAGTGTCCGAATCCTGGGGTCTTTCCGTGGGTCTGCCTCGTTCGGCTGATCGGACCAGTCCGTTACATAGCTGGTTCAATCTTCTCCTCAAGTCTTTGCGTCTGGTCTTTCTGACGCGGGTCTATCACTATTTGTATGGTGAGCAGTCAAGAATGTAGCACTCGGTGCAGGCAGCTCTAATCGTCTCCAAGACGCTACAGCTTCGACACAGAACAGACAGCAGACTAGGACCACATCGAGCTACAACGCTCTCCCACATAAGAGCTCCGTGACTTCGGCCACACTCAACTCTCTGCTCTGCTTCAAGCTCCGTCTCAACGTGTACGACACTGCTGTATCCGGGACTACTAAATATGTGTATCTAATCTACCCAACAATGTAACATAAACGTACATTACACAGAGTTAGGGGTCTCCCAGGTCATCCGCAGGGGTTAGCTGCCGTCTTTGGTAATGTCTTGAGCTGACATTCGGGCATGGGTTTTTGGAGGTCGAACAGGGTCCTCCGCTTGCTACCTTGTCAATGTTCCTGGCCCTAGTCGGGCCTGTGTCGCATTGGGTCGGCGGTTGCAGCCAGTTGTCTCGACATCGAGTTAAGGAGCGAGTGGCAACTGCCTCCTGGGAAAGTCCCTCTTGTTTTATCTTTGGTCAAGTAGCTCCGGGGAGCAGAAGGGGCTTCCCCTTAAAAAACACAGCATTGAATGTAATGAAACGTCATTTTCTGGACAAGACTCTGAGGCTTCCCGGTAACCTTCCCTCCCTCCGATCGGCGGTTTTCGCGGTTTTGACATCATGTTGAACTGGGTGGGTGGATAGCCAGCATTTGGGGGGGTCTGGAGCCCCCCCTTTCCCCTCCCTGGGAGGGGAAGCTGCACAGACAGTGGCACGGTGACGGTTGTGACATCATGCTGGGTTGCTCATTTTTTAGTTGGCGAGTTCTGTTAAACAGTTAGGCTGTCAATAGCAATTTTTTAACCAGATAGGGTTTGCTTTGGGGGCGCCTACCTTTTGGGTGCCTGACCCGGTCGATGGCAGACATAGAATGATTCCAACCACACGGAATGGGGGGGGTTCTATAGGCCATTGCTCCCCGTGCCTCTTTGAGCGGGCCAGGTTCTAGCTCGTGGTCTCTGGTAGGCAGAACTTCATTCACTTTGATGCTATGGTCTAATACATTCATATCAGCCCAGATAGCTCTGGGGAGTCTCTAGGTCTCGCCCAGAAAATGGCTTTTCATTACATTCAACACTAGTTTTCTGGGAGGAGCCCCGTCGGCTCCCCGGAGCTATCCCAGGCTGATATGCTAATGTCAGACTTTGGCATCAGTCATGTGTATGGAGTTCTTAGGCCTACCGGGGACCACGGCCAGAACCGGGCCCCCTCAGAGAGGCAAGGGGAGCAATGGCCTATAGAAGCTCCCGTGTAGTTGGAAGCATTCTATGTCTGCCATCGACCGGAACAGGCACCCAGAAAGGTAAGCGCCCCAAAACAAACCCCTATTCTGGTTAAAATTGCTACCTAAAACCGAACTAGTGGATAGAACTCCCCAACCGAAAACAAGCAAACTAGTGTGACGTCACACACTGCCGCGCCGCTGTCTGCGCAGCTCCCCCCTCCCCGGGAGGGGGAAGGGGGAGCCCCAGACCCCCCGCGCCGGCTACCCACACCTCAGTTCTTGAGGCTGATGCTATAGGCGATGGTCGTGTGCTCTGGCTCCGGTGTCACTACTGCACTGTGCTTTGCGTGTGGTGTTAGTTTTGTGGGTGCGAGAGCCAGGAGTTATCTTCAGTACTCGGGCTGCATGCGCCTAGGGCTGCCTTCCCTAGGTGCCCTGTAAGTACTGCCCTTGGGGCTTGTAGCCACCTTCCACAGGGTCCTCGGGGTCTGCCTCTGCTGGTCCGTTTTACCTTTCGGTTTTTCGGCCGCCTGTTGGGCTCTTGGGTGTTCTGTTCTCCCTTGTTACCGGCAGGTAAGAGGCAGTTTGCACTGGTAGGGGCGCAGGGTGCTGCTCAGCTTGTATTTCCCGACATCGCGGCCGGCTCTGTTCCTTGGGGTTCGCTGTCCTCTTGCGGGGTTTTGTTTTTCTTTTTGTTTTTGCCTGGTGGGGGGTTCTGTCATTTTATTCAGTTTGTTTTTGCCCTTCCACTGTTCTCCTCGGTGGCGCCCCCTGCTAGGTCCCCGTGAGTGTACACGTCCCTGGGGTTCAGCTTTAGAAGTTTGCTTGGTAGTTTTGGGCGCCGGTTTGCGGCACCCTGCCTGGGACTACCTGAGCGAGAGTCCTCTTAAAGTAAACGCTCAGGACCCTGGGAATCCCCTAGGGGGCGCGTGGGTCCGATGGATGTGACCCCGGAGTCCCCACTCGCTGTGTGCGAGTTTGAGGGTTGCTCGGTCCCCTTGTCTCAGGGTGACCGTCATTGTTTTTGCCTCTGCCACGCTGCCTGTTGGGTCGGTGATACTTTCGACCCTGAGTCCTGTGAGTGTTGCTGCTTGCTTGCGACTCAATTTACCCAATCCTCTGATGATTCTATTCGGGTACAGGCGGCACGTGCGTTGCAGTCTAGGTTTCGTCTGTTGCAACGCGCTCGGTTGGTTGCTTCCCTGGATGCCCCAGGGCTGCCCCGCTTTGCTTTTCGAGACCCGGACTTGGGGGTGGGGGTCGCTTCGATCCTGGTTCAGTCCGCACCTCCTCGTCCTTCCCCTTCTGTTCGTTCTGGTCCCCCGCCCCTGCTTCCGGCCCCGAAGCATCTGAGGGTTTCGGGGTCGGAGCAGAGGTTACTTGATCTCGAGACTCGGGCAGCTTCGGGGGTTGCCCCTTCCGGGGGGGCGGCAGAGGCATTCGAGTCTTGTCTCCCGGCCGAAGCTTCAGGGTCTGACCAGTGGGCCCCCCTTCCTCCAGCTTTTCCGGCTGCTCCGTCCTTGTCTTGTGGGGTCGGGGCTTGGGGAGAGGACTCGGCCTCGGGTCCTGTGGTGACGGACCTCGAGGCTGGGGAGGGGCTGACTTGGGGGCCTTGGGCCCCGCTGGACCCCGCCTGGGTTTTTCTTCCCACTGAGCGGGGCTTATTGTTACAAGGAGTGGGGTTTTCTTTCCCCCCCTCTGCGTACGAGTTGGATTTGGTGTCGGCCCCTCCCGGGTTCGGTTCCGTGTTCCCCCGGGTACGTCGGTTCCGTCCTTCCGGAGGTTTTCGGCTTATCGCATCCAACCTGGTGTGGTGCGAGCGGCTTTTGCAGCTTACCTCCTGCGTGACCCGGATTATGCCTCGGAAATGGATCCGTCCACGTTCAGGTTTGGGACTTCGTTCCCTTTCTGGCTCCGTTACGAGGTTCCGGAGTCGTCCTGGCTAGCAGACTGCCCCTTGTTTGGTCTGGATTCCTGGCATTCCTTCTGTCGTTCCCGCACGCTGGA